CTGTCATTTATTAAAATTTTCATTCATTCGAATTATTTCTTGAATTATTTTTCTACTGTTATTTTACAATGATGACATTGAATCAACCAGCAAATTTGATTCGAATAGTTTAATGTAACTTTTATTTAAATAAAGAAATTTGAAATGTTTTGGTAAGATTTATTACTATCATCAAACCCTAATAATACAATTTTACATAACGTTTTAATTTAAACTGTTGAATTTTAATCATTTATCACATTCCAGTGACTACATTCCATATTACAACGTATAATAATACATAACTACTTCATCTTACCTGATGTAATATCAGATAAAGTTTGATTTAGACAATTTTTTGTCCGACCGTAATTAAACATGAAAATTCAAAAATTAATCAGTCTAAATTTTTTTATGTTTAATAATTAATTAAAACTTTTTTTATTTTCATAATTCTGATCAATGACAGATTAAAAAATAAATTTTTTTAAAGTAAAAACCTAATTTAAAATTAAAACCAATATTTCTCTTGCTCCAAAGGCTTTAAAAAATCGTTTTAAAAAAGAATTCCATCACTCTGACATATTAAAATCTATTAACAATTTTACCAGTAATGCACGACTTTATGTCTATCCAGCAAAACCGTCGAAGATCAATTTTCGAATTATTTACGGTTTTGCAAATGCCCGAATGGTTTGGTTGGTTCATTGGCTATAATTCTCAGCTGAGATTAACGTCATAAGGATTTAAGTGTGAGAAACTTAGATCTTGGGTGTAGTGTTGTGTGACGGGTGAAGGTTGCGTACTTAGTAAATCCCTGTGGTCACCCTCTGTCCTCGAGTACAACACAGAGTGCGACATATAACCCAACGCAGTACTATATTCTACCCGGGCTGCCGTATTTGCAGCTATCGAGTCCGGATCACGTCACGTCGCGTCGGATCGCGTTACGCTCTCGACACTGATCAGAGATTAGCCCCCCGATTGCATTCAAATCACGCACAAAGAGCTCAACTGGAGAGCTGAGCTTCCTCTCTTGCTCTTCGTACCCACTCGCACCGTAAACCACTCACTAGGGGCTCTGGCCCTATCTGACAGCCGTATCTAACGGATTTCTAACGACCTTTTGTCGCCTGAAAATATTAAACCGTGATTATAGCAGAAAGCGTCTATCAAGTGGAATAACCAAGTCCCACATTAACGCTTATTCCTATATAAACAATTATCTGGAGAATGCAAGTACATAAGCTCATTCGAGTCTTTCAAGTACACCGCTCTAATTATGTAGATACAGTCTTACTTAAAAATTATCCTGACAGCTTTGGACGCTTATAATTAGTCGACAAATTATCCTCAGACCCTTTTTGAATGACAGATTGAGATCGTCAACGGCATGATCTTACAGATAAGTTACAAAAGGTTTGTAAGTAGGTCGACTCAGCGAAAGATAAATAAACGACGAAAATTAATTTATGGTTCCCAACAAAAGAAGCTTATCTTTTCATCCGTATTTTGGTTCTACAAAAAAAATGGTGTTGGTTTTAAGGAAGTAGCCGTGTTTGTGTTTAAAATCATATTATTTATGTCATTAAAAATAAAATTTGTCGACAGTCTAATTATTTTAATCATTCATCATCTTTTTCAGCTGCTCCAAAATCATCTTTTTTCTTTACATTTCATTCAATAATTTAATTCGTGAATTATTAATTTAAAATTCTTCTTTGAATTCATGAGTAAAAGGTTGAGATCAAATACAAAGTTCTATCGAATCATTAAACTTTTCTTTAGTAATACACTAAAGTGTGCTAACAAAAGCCGCTGACTAAGAAGATTTGTTAAGAGCGTCACGTGTTTAGTAATTGACAACTAAACTTTAGAAACATACAACATAAAAAGCCCCGTTGAGAAAGCCTGTCAGAATAATAGGAAGCTGTATTTACATTTAAACGAATGTTATTATATTATATTTATTCAAATACGATGAAATGCATTTGAAAATGTTTCCACGATTAGATGACTGACATCCAGATGTTGGTATGATAATAGTTAATAGGCTGAATACATGAATGATTAAATAACAGTCACATGTCTATAAACGAAAGTGTATAAAAGAGGATGATTTTATAAGTTGAAAATGAAAGATTGAAAAGTGGTTGTCTGTCAACATTGGTTCTCACTTGATACCCTCATCATCGAGTGAAATAATGTATTCCCCAAATGCACACAAAATATATATATAATGTTGACTGGCAGCACAACACATACGTATAATGTGTTATTACAAGGGTCATAGTAGGCATATTATATCCGGGCGGGTCCTTGTAAAGTTACCTATGCGCAGTGGTGGGCCATGATTGATGACAAGTCGTTGGATGTTATGAATATAATATCGATCAATCATGCTATTTACCAAGTGAATGCATAGGCCACTCTATCATTCCCTCGCAGTTGCCTGTCTAACCCTCGGTCTACCCACACTTCCCTGCCATCTCTCATTTCACTTGGCGGCCGTCGCTTCGTCTTCCTTTGAGCAAGAGGGAGAGAGAAAAAAAGTTGCATCCATTTTTCACTTTCCCGGATGACGAATGACGCCCAAGATGACGCTTACTCGAAACGACTTCTCGATCGTTTCTCTAAAATCCTATGAAGGTGAAAAAGAACGAAAAATTTCGCGAAAATATGTCAAATTCAGTGCCCCCTATGAACGTTTATCTTTCCTGGCAATATTTCCCGTCTTTTCAGATCCGAAGGCTTCATTATATCACTTGACAAGTGATTTTATATATCTGCAAAACCACATTGCTGAAAATTACTTGTTATGAATGCTCATAAATATTATAGCTTCATTTATTCTACAGATTTCAGCCTATTTGTTTATATCTATGTGATAATAGAGCTGATAAGCCAATTATTGGCACATGTGTGCATTTATCGATTCATTCATAAACAATTGCTTATTTTGTTTTAATTAAGTTTAATGAATTTCCATAAATGTCCATTTTATGCAAATATCATTTATCTATTGATTTAATTATTCTCATTAGGTTTTTAAAATTGTCATTTTATTAATCTTCAGTATTTTTGGGAAAAAATAGAGAAATCAGTTAGAGATTTTTATTTTTTCACTTAGAGAGACATTATTTAAATGATTTTAAAATTGCAAAATAAATCTTGACTGTGATTTAATGAACTCAAAGTAATAAAATCTCACTTTTACTTCTCTGATCATAAAGTCCTGATTCTGTCTTATTTTAACCAGCTAAAGTATGTCAAATATGGTGTGTCATAAACTCGTCATTAAAAAAATATGAAAAATCATCAAGTAAAAAATTTTACCGTTAATAAATTGACACTTTAACCTGAAAAATAAAATGAAAGTACAATAATTTTTCTTCCAAAAATATCTTAATCAAATAAATAAAAAATTCCAAACCTGTTGAATATTCAACTCGCTTTAATGAAAACAATTATAAAATGTTTGTGACAAAATACGTTTTTTTTATTATCCCCACAGCACATTCTTGGTAAATGAAATTCACAATAAAATAAAAATCCTTTGTATGAATAATTCGAGTGAGAGCATGTCTTGTCTCTCGATACCGTACAGCTTCATTATATATCAACTACTATCAAGTATTTTATATCTTCACGAAAGTTACACCAGCATCAATTGGGATATTCATACAAATTTATGAGTGGTCGATGCACGATAATGATCGAATAAGTTATAATTAAAGCACTAATTAGGTGACTCTGAAGCAATCAATTTATTTCTTCAGGGAGTAACTAAATCTCGATGATTAAGTCGGTTCTTGGGTGGTGTTGAATAAACGAGAGCGGATGTGGTCTCTGAGTTTTTGGCGTCCCTGAATTGCAAGTTAAATCCAAAGTCAATCTACTCCTTTTGTCCAACATCAAGCCTGAATCGTTAATTGAGATCGTTGGTCATTGGCCATTCAGTAAAAAAAAATACCTATTCCTTCTTCGTGTGTAGCTGATATATTTTTTCATCCACTTACTTTCTCGAGCAGATGATAACTATGATAATATAAATTCAACATTGGACATTATGCAGTAAAACTAATAAGGTGTGTCGATAATATCCTTAAAGATAAATGACATGAAAAATGAAATACTCAAGGCAACTCATTAAATCGTCAATAAATACAGAATAGATATTTTTCACCTACTGGAATTCTTCAGCACCATTATAAAATCCTAGATTTAATTTATAATCTTCACAATCTGCAATCTGCATAGTCATTTTTCATTTTGAAATATCTAGGATTGGTAGACACACAACCTTGAATATATTATAGATGTGAGTGTGCGGAAACAAGAAACCTTTTACGAAGGAGTGGTCATCAGTGATTCTAATGTGAAAATATTATACCCAAACAGCTCTTGACATTCAATTAAATCTATAAGATAATTAGCAAGATAAAAGAAACAATAGCTAAATGGTGATAAATTATTTCATACTTTTTCTTATTTTTCAATTTATTGCCCTAAAATCTATTGTTCATTAATAATTGTATCTAATTGATTGGAACATTAATCGATAAAACAATAAATATACACAGCCTTGCCTGCATGTTCAATTTTAATTTTATTGTTTATGTTTTATTCGAAGAATAAGATGTGGATTGTTCAACTTTAAAATAACAAAGCCGTTAAAAAAAATCAGTAAAGAGTAAATATTTTATTTAGAGTTGAAAGAAGTAATGTAATATTAGTAAATCATAATATTTTAAACTGAAAGTTGAATTTTTGACAGCTGGTTTTACGGTCATTAGGCGTCATATTATGGCTAGTAAGAGTTAATGTTGAATTTTGGACAAATGATGTATATAACAGTAATTTATTAGTCATTTATAGACTGGTTATATAATGAAATCTTTATACATGTTGTATCTACATAATTTTTTATTTTGATGCATTGTACCCCTCTTTCTAACTTAATTCATTTTGATTTATGCGTCACCTTACACGTTTGACTCTACTCTATTCTGTTTGTGCAGGGACCTCCGCTCTATATGGCGTATATCCGACGACGATTTAGATAGAACTCAAGTCCCCTCAGGTTCGTGAAAAGGATGGATCAACTTTTCTCAACTTGGCACGGATACTTTCGCGCAGATGTACCATTAATCCTCAAACGCTCGACGGCTTGCTCGACGGGGATGGATTCACCGTCGGACAGAGTCGGCTGATTTAAGAGGCTATACCACGACTCCGGTTGGCTTTTTCTTCTTCTTCTTGTGAGTACAATATCCCTTTCTATGTCGTTTCAAAAAGATAAATTGTCTGTCGTTTTTCGTTTGGACGTACTGGAGCAAAAAAAAGGTGCGAATCAAGATTCAAGTAGATTGGGATAAAACTCGATTCTAATTGAACTAAAATAACTGACAATACTTGTATAAGAAAATATCTTTGTCATTTTGACATATTTTTGAACCATAAAAAATTGCACTTTGAAAAATATTTTCAATTCAGTGATACACTGATTCTCGTCTCGAATTAGAATGGAACGAATGGGATTAGTTTTCATTTTTGAAATCGAATTTTTCAATGATTTTTTTTTATTTTTCGAAGTAAACTTTAATAACTTCAGAGTTGAACTTGGTTGAATCAATAAACAAAAAAAAAATAACAAAATTTGATTACTTGAAAAATAAAATGAAAAATTATAATTTTCTTTTTTTTTTAATTCAAGATAATTTCATTTTCATAAATATTGTTTTGAAGATTAATAATATTTGCCGTAATAATTATTTTTATCTATTAGTATTAAATTTTTTGGAGTTGAATTATTGAAGTAGAAAAGGAAAAGAAAATCTACTTCTTGAATGAAAAAATAGCTCTAAAAAAGAATTTAGTCCCGTAATTAAAAAACTTAAAGTAAAGTACAAAAATATACTAGAAAAAATAAAACTCACTGTCAGGATAATTTTCACGAGTATTATTTCTCTATAATGTTTTGTTTTTTCTGGTGATATTTTACATCTGTACTGCTAATAATTAAACAATTTGACATGTCATCTGATACACAAAAAATATGCCTAATGATAATTCAACCATATTTGATTGCAACCAAGAGTATAGAGATAACGCCTGGAGCAAGAAACATAATGAAACCTCTAAACCATGGGTTGAAAGCAGCCGATTAAAATATTCATTTGTAAAGTGGAGTGAGTGACACGGGCGAAGAAAAAATGACAGCATGAACAGCACCCTGACAGCTAGACAAACACTACTCTGACCTTTAAAATAGCTTTTATTCATTCTAGCATATTTATTTAGGCTGCTGTGGGATCATGTTTCCTACCTGGGGGATCTCAAGAGTGCCAGAGAGTCGAGAGAAAATGACTACTGTATGTCAGTTCTATAACAGACTTATGGACAATACATTTTGACTCGTAATTAACATTTCACAGAGGCGTCATATTATTATTATTCATATGGATGTTATTTCATCTTGCTTATTATTTTTTTTCCTTCACTCATCAGAAGATAAATTCTAAACTCAATATGATTGATGATTAATTATCTAAATAAGAATAATTTACCTTTCAAATATTCTTCATTCCCCTAAATTATTTCAATGCAAATTCATTAATTGCTTTAATTATTTTTTTGATCGTTGATAAAAAATATTTTCAAAAAAATTAGCAATAAAACTTCCATCTTCTATCGTTTAGCTATTTCTCTAGCTAAACTAAAGACTGAAATGAAACGAGTATTAAACTAACAGAAACTATAAAATGCCTAGCGTAGCCTTAAAAAATATTCAACAATGTGTAATAATTTTGTCATGACTTGGTAATGATATGGTGTAAAAGCAAACATAAAAAAACATTCCATGAATATTTGAAATAACAAAACGTGCATCAAAGAGTATACATAAGGAGTTAATAGTTTGAAGAGTGTGTGTTCTTGGAGATGAATCGGCAGTCGTCTATATTCTCCATAATATGTCACACGACGATTACATTGACAGAAACGACCGAGAGACAGTGATAAGTTTAGTACGGTAGAAAACGACACGGCAACGAGGGCAAACGAGAAATTGACAGTCGACATTTGTCCGTCTGCGCGTGTCTGCTTGGCTGTCTGCCTATGTGACATCGTACGACGCCCTCTTTATTATACATTCAATTATTAGGCGCTGCGCGTGACAAGTGCTATTGCATATTTATATCGACCTCTTCTGTGCCAAAGTCTCGGGGCTTGCTCACGGATAAGGGGCTTCTCTCCTTTCTGACAAGCCGTCACAGGCATACGTTAACATTCTTAATAAAACAGCTCTAATACTCATACGGATATTTTATATCCATATATTATATACACAAAGTATAAAATTCGACCTCGACGTGCCGATGTAATTTCAATCCTCAAGAAAGTCATCAGCCTTTATAACCTGTTTATTACGTTGATATAACACGATGTGCACTCACGACGGATGTCATGTCACATTTAGCACTGGTTAAATGACCATCCCTAAGGCGACATCAACCAGACACTTGACTGCATTCTACGGCCATCGTTATGTGAATATCTACCTGATTGCGGTTTTCTTCTCATATCATTCCACTAGTTTATATCCACTTACACGGCTGCTTATCTATGATAAACGTGTCGGGTTTTCTCAATACAGGTATCATTAATTAACCAATAAACTATCCTGTGAATCTGTCAAGAATACGCCATTCTGTAATTACTATTTACGATAAATACTTATAACTATGTACGTGTTTTGTATTGATGAAAAATCTTACTTATCTCACTCGGAAATCGAAATTTCATTTTTAACTTGGAGTGTTTATAGTGATGAATATATGATCTTTAAGTACACTTTCTCTTCTTTCGTCCCGTTTTTTAGTTTCACATCATTTTTTCTGTCAGACCATTGATTAGTATAAGGAAACTGACTTCTCTTTAAGTGCCCATAACTCTTTAACTAAGTAAAGAGGCTTTTAAAAACACACTTTAAGGCTACTAAAAGAAAGGTCAAAATAGATACTACTTGAGAATATTAAAAAAAAAAATTTTTTTTTAACCCTAAAACAATGCAGAACTTTAAAAAGGTATTTCTTTAATGCATCGAAATTTTTGTTTTGTTATTAAAAACATTTTCATTAAAAAAATTATACTCAAAATTGATCAAGCTTTACTTATTTTGGAGTAATTTACAGTAATTTTCTGATAACTTTTAATCAAATTATGTTTAGTGTTAAAAACGAGTCGAATACTCGGCTGAATAAATAATTTGAATTTTTTTTATCGACTAAATAATGATTTAAAAGGCCATGGAGCTCGATATACAATTTTTCCTAACAAACACAATTCGTAATATTTTTTTTGTCTTAAATTTAGAAATATTATTTAATTATATTTTCTAATAAAATAATAAAACACATAAAAATGAAAAAATTTAAAAAGCTGTCATTGAAACTATTTTAATAATAACTAATCATACTTTTTTCACCAATGATATATGTAATGCTTGATAGTTTGATTAATATCTTAAGACATTTATGACTCCATCTTTTTTACGATAGCAATAAAATTATAACAACGAGAACTTAACAAACTTGACTTATTGATAATCTCAGTGACTTGGATTATTTTATTATAATTTATCAGTAATCTCAGATCTATCTGTCAGATAGTTGGACTTTAATCCGTAGGACTAGTCTGCATAACGATTAGAAATAAATGATAAAATCTGTTTTTATATTAACAAGATATTAAATGCATTACATTATATACTGTGAGCGACTGTATAGTTTGCTGACTGCTTTAAGCTACTTCGGTGGCTTTGATATTTGATACTCAAGTTTTTAGCGCCCGTGTGTCCAGAGTCTCGAATAAGTCCAGAAACTCTTGAAAGCCGATCTTCTACATTTCAGCTTCACTCGCTTTTTTTACATTATAAACCGCTCCATCTGAGTGATGAATATTGACAGAATTCGAAAAACAGCTGAGAGCCCACCGCAGGAGCTCGTCTCTCGGCTAAACTTTCTTTTTTCTTTTTGTATTATTATTCTATTTTTTCTTTTTGTTATCCTTAAAATTATTTCGAAAATTAATCTGCTTTCAAAATACTCTTGAACTTAATTTCTGAGACACCTTCAACATGGACTAACCTTCACCTGTATATAGATCTTTCATAAGTTTTAATTAAATTTTATTAAAAAGAAAGAAAAAGAATTGCTCTTGAACATTATCGTCATTTATGATTTTATCAGTTAGATTGCTTAATGATTTATGTTCTTTTTTATTTCACAATATTTTCGCAATAATAATGTATATGAGTTAAATAATAGTTATAGAATAGGTGTAAGAAAAGTAATAAAATAATCACAAATTTTAGAAGTGATGAAGAAATGATGAAAAATATTTTTTTTTAATTACTCGGCTGATAAAAATAATATTTCAGCCGGTAATAAAGTTTATTTGATGATAATAAAAAATTTATTTCAAGATTTAACAATAATAAGAACTTATTTGGAAAGATTTGACAACTTTTGTAATGAAAGTTTCCATGGAAACTAATTATATTAGTGCACTAATATCTTTTTTTTAATGCCAAAAATAATCTAAAGATCATCATAAAGTATTAAAACAATTTTTTCAACGAACAGAAACTACATTATGTTATTGTCAAATAATAAGAACGAATTCAAAAACATTTATGGAGTAGAAAATTAAACTAACTCCATTTATTATCTCTTTCAGAAAAAAAATATATTCCAGTTGTTGACAATTAATATCTTACTCAACGGAACACCTTGAAAAGGGTCAAAAATCTCATTGCTCACCAGTAAAAGAAAAAAATAAATGAAAGACAAATTTTCTCTTCAAGTTTAAAGATGTAGTTTCAAATTATTCTCATTTTCACACCTTGAAAAAGATAATATGTCAGTTTGATAAATATTAGTAAGATTCAGTGTAACGATAAGTTGAAGCGTTATATCCACGATTGATGATTAATCTAATCAAAAGAATTATTTATTTTCAGCATGGTAAAAAGGTTAAAAATAATCTCCAGCAGATTGAGTGATTCTCAAGAAGCGCGAGAAAGATGTATGAATATCAAATATACATCGAGCACAATGGTAGAAGTGTATAGAGTTGTATATTGCTGATATACTCTCTAGATTTGCTCTCACTTAGTTTC